GTTTTTTGTGAGATGCAAGGATTTAAAATCGTTGTGAAGTATTTTTTTCATTCACTACAGTTTAAATCAACTAACTTATGTGTACGCATCCCTGATATATATGTTGCATATAATTTTCATAAATGTATTCACTGTTCAGACATGTCGGACATAATATAACATTATACATTATAATTCTATTAAATTAATGACAAATTTAGTTTAATTCAGTTTAAACTTAATAATGTTAATGAATATTTTCTTGGTCTGTTAGTGTATTTTAATGAAATTAAATATTTTAACAGAAATATTGTTTTGTTTAATTATGATTATGCTTTCCGACCTAAGATACATATAGATTCTACCACTGCATCGAGTGTGATACGATATTTATCCACTCGAGACAGTTAAATTTTCAAATTTAAAACGCGAGGCTCACCGAGCGTTTTAAATATTTAAAATTTTACTGTCTCGAGTGGATAAATATCGTATTACACGAGATTTGGTGGTGGAATCTGTTTCTCTAATGATTTTCAAACAATACGCAGGCAAATTTATTCCTTCTTTTCGAATCAGATCTGCAAAAAGATGTGTTCTTTCTATGTGACGTCATCAGGCATGGTCGCCTTTTTTCATGCCGTCACAATAGGAAATTCAGAGGAAAGCAAGAAAATTCGACGTCATAATCGGATTTTAACCAATGAAGAACTGAGATCAAACGAACCACACGTTGATTAATTTTTTTTTTATACAATGGGTGCAGAAAGGGATAAATTGACGAAAAATTAGAGAAATATTTATAACAGATATATCGTTTTGTTAATTTTCTTCTTCCTTTTCGGCATTTGCCCAGGCTGTGATTGAAGTAAATAATGTCATATGATAAACGTGAAGAAATAATCAGTTTATTCTGAGACATAGTATATTAGTATACTATTCCCAGATTTATTGTCACAATGCACAGTAGCACGTTGTATTAAATACTACACATACACCGCACATAGGGGCCGTCTCAAAGCATGAATTATATAATTGCGTTATTATTATACTTGATATTTAATAAACATTCTGATTATGTTGCATTATTAAAACGCAAATGCTCTACCAAAAGGCAAGTAGGTGGCAATATATAAATGTTTTTTATTGCAATCGAGTCTTTATCTTTTTTAATTTTCTGATCTACAAATGAACTTCGAATGTTGAACTATACAATGTCACGTGGTAGCCTATCCATAGAGGGACCGTATCAAAGAAATAAACAACTACCTGTATAAATTATCGTAACTTTTCGAGACGTTCCGAGAATCTTGTTTCCGAGGATATCGAATGACCCATAGAAGCTCCAAAACTCGCCAATATCAGGGGGTTCACGCAAACAAAGCTTCCTCTCAGTCGACATTAGAGATCCCCCGATTACACCTAGGAAGATTGCAATCGACTGACTATTACCATCATTGAACACAACACTATTTGTTCTAGGCAGGAGAGAATCACTCTAGAAGGATTGCGCATGTGTGCATCCAAAATGTAACTAACAATCCAGCTGATGAGGTTAGCACTGTGATATTTAAACAACACCTTTTCATTGATCGCATTTGATGTCATGGTTTTTAATTTATCTTATCTAAAATCTTTTCCCCGAGTTATTCTTTCCCCCGAGAAAAAGCAGTGTTGTGGTCAATGAGGGTAATAGTCAGTCGATTGAGATCTGCCTTAATGTAGTCAGGGGATCTCACATGGCGACTGAGAGGAAGGTCTTTCTTACATTCATATTAATTACGATGGGCGAACTAACGTTTGTGAATGGCTGGTCTGACATACGGTTTCCAACTTTTACACAATGAAAAGATACACATAATGTGCAGTTTGCAAGAAAAAATGTACATCACTGGTAAAAGTCTGAGTATACAGTATTTCCTTCCAAGTCAGACATCGTTTTTCCCAAAACGATGGGAAGAGCCTGGTTAAGAGGATAAAAAAACTCTCACCAAAAAATCTGTTAGGCTTTTGGGCCAAAGGAAAGTCATTGCGGATGGCTTGGGGAAGATCTTCATAGTTAGGGTGCTTCTTCTATTTCTTTCCAATTTTGGCAAATGCGGATGAACTGCGATAATTTGTCAAATTTAGAATGGTAATTAAGCACAAAAGTGACTCTTTTGTTGACCTTTTTCTCTTTATTTTGTAAAAGTTCATCTTGGCTGATGTTATAATAACGAGAGAAGCCTCTATAAATGTATTTTTCTGTAGTCCCGATTTTTTATGAAGTTCTTGTAACCGGTTTTAAACAGTATCCTTGGTGGTGCAATCCGCTTTTTCTGATGACTTGGTGTAGGGAATGTTCTTGGTGCAGTATGCTTGCTAATAGTACTCTGCATGAATATCAAACGACCAATATTTTGTAAGGAACTTGTGATAATGCATGAAGATATTTAGACATCTCTGAAGTATCTAGATTTTCTTATATGCAATTTTAGCAATCCTTCTTGACTTAATCAAAATAGATCGCTGCTTATGAACCATAAAGATTCGTTACGCTATTTATCTTAATAAACGGAAAGATTTTTTTCATTTTTCTATTGTAGAGTTTCCTTTCCTTGCTAGTATTTTCGTTTTCTCTTCGTTATTTATCGTAAACTTCTCTATAGTTAATTGTAGTATGAATAAAAGGAGTCTCAGAATCAATGAACATATTGTTTGAAAAATCAAAATGTTAAACAACAAGGATTAAAGTTATTACTGTTGGTCATTAGACGTGGTTTTGTATTTTGGAATTTTCTGAAAAAATAGACGGTTTTATCAGTAAAACAAACACTAAACACGATTGATTTTTAATGACAATGTTTATTCTAATAACAAGTTAATACAACAATGGAGTTATTCGTTCATCGACTTCAGGCGTCAGATAAATATACATATTATTTAATATGCTGATCCTACAAAACAAATGTTATATTAGTATATCTAAAGGAAAAATACAGAACATTTTGCATACACTTTAAACAAAATTCAATCTAATTAAAAATTAAATCTCCGCACTTGCTCCTCGTTGTTTATATGTCGCGCGTGGGACATATAAACAACGAGGAGCAAGTGCGGAGATTTAATTTTAATTAGATTGAACAAAACTAAACCAATTCACATTCGACAAAACTTTGCCTAGCACTTTTTTCTCCCTGATAATGTGTACAATTTCAAATAAATTTACTTATTCATTTTTATTTTGAATGTTCTTCGATGTGAATTGTAGTACAAAAATATGCAGGTAAAAAAAATATAAAGGTACCTTGTGAACTCTTTTTTTTTTATTAAAATTACACAGCATTTCATTATCATCGAATGGCATTTGACCCCCTGGACGAGAACAATTAAATGTGCACTGTAAATTACTTTTCCTTTTCGGGTGTATAAAAAAGAAGGATTGCAAATGAAACACCTAACCACCAGACACAAACTGACATACAATTTTTTTGCTCCGTGTTGAAGGCCTGACTGTGACTTTTGAATGAAGAACAGCAATAAAAGCGCTGTTCCTTTGCTTTTTGTGTGTTTTTGCTGTACGTGTACTGATTTTGTGTCATGGATGGTTATCCCATATCCTTTTGTTTAGAAGTTAGCAACTACAGGTCGCTGTACGGCCTTCAATAAGGAGCAAAACCCTTACAACTTATCAAGCTATCAAAAAATCCGAAATGAAAAACGTAAAACAAACCAAACGAGAAAACTCACGGTCTGTTTTATGTACAAAACAATAAACGAAAACCAAATATGAAATACAAGCAAGAAACGACAGCCACTGAATTACAGGTTCCTAACTTGGGAAAGGCAGATACAAAATTTGGTTGGGTTTGCGTCATTATAAAAAAAAAGAATTCTAAAGCGGCAAATTAAAGGTTCATGTTTACACACCATGGTCAATTTCTAAAAGTCCTTCGTGATTCTTCGTGATGTACTTTTTAGGTTTTAACAAACTTTTTGATTAGTTCAAAACAATTTACCAAATGCCTATAGCTGGCTCAAGACTTCAGTTAACATAGATTTCCAAAACATTTGAGTTAATATTCAAAAATTGTATAAGATGGATATTCTTAACCGAAATTACTCTATTTGAAATACATTTCCCATTCTATAAATGCATATTTTTTAGATATAATTTAATAAAAATTGGTTAAAGATGTAATTCGATGCAAAATATTACAAAAACATGTACAAAAATTTGATAACATTGTCCTAGACAGCTATTATGATATATGTTATACGGATAAATACATTCTGGTTGTAAGTTTGCATGTTGATATGTAAAATTTCTGAGAATGTTTGGTGTAAATCATATCGACTCTTTGATATTCGAATTGCAGGTTTTAATGACTTTCGGGTTTTGTCCCAGTAAGTAAAAACAAATTTTGGGGAAATTGGCCCTAACTTTTAATTATACTGTAAAAGTACTGATAATGTTGCTATTATCTAATTAAGATTTTTTCATTATATCTATCTTGTTATTTTTTTTAATTTTTTTTTAAAAAGCTCACCTTTTCCAACAGTCCTGCCGCCGAATCCACTTCTTACACTTCCTTGAAGAGCAGCTGAAATCGACATAAACATTAGTAATAAAGTACTAATTAAAAATAGAAATACAACATCGTGTAGAAATACTCATTAGATACAAATTTCAGGTTCAGCATTAGGTATGCCAGTGGTGTCGTTCGTCTACATAAAATTAATCATTGGCGCTCGATTCAAAACAGCTAATTTCAAATTAAAAGTCTTAACCAATCACATGATTGAATAGCATTCCAACTCTAAAATCGGAAAGTCCTTATCAAATGGAAAAATCAAAAGCTCAAACACATCAAACGAATGGAAAACAATTGTCATATTCCTGACTTGGTACAGGCATTTCCTTATGTAGAAAACAATACCGTTCCTTCATATCAAGTATTGCATTACAAACATTTATATCATAGAGCTCCTGTTTTAATATCTTGTTTAACATGTTTTACCTAATGACGACACAGAATACTGACCTGAAAGACTTGCGCTACTAAGTCCTCCTGCACCGCCTCCTATACCACCTCCTAGTCCCCCAGAAAGTCCACCACTTAATCCCCCGGATAGTCCTCCACTTAGACCGCCTGCTCCTCCAATGCCTCCGATATTTCCACTTTGTGCAACAAACCCACTTCCAAATTGTCCAGCAAATCCGCTGCTTCCTACTCCTGTTCCGAATCCAGTTCTACCAACAGAACCAGCAAATCCACCGTCAAATTGTCCAGCAAAGTTAGATCCGGCACCACCAGTGAATCCACTTCCTACTCCACCACCAATTCCACCACTGATTCCACCACTGATTCCACTTCCTACTCCACCACCAATTCCACCACTGATTCCACCACTGATTCCACCACTGATTCTTGCTCTTATGGTATTGGCAGTGACAGCTTGTTGTAGAGCAGAGATATAGTACATCAATCTAAGGTAGGCACTAATGCTAATGGAGATGGTTCCGCCGACACCAGCACCACCAATTCCACCTCCCAAATTTCCACTTAGAGCACCAGCAAGAGAACCTGATATGCCACTGCCGCCAATACCGCCTCCTAGACTACCTCCCAAATTTCCACTTAAAGCAGCGTTGAGAGAACTAGATAGTCCACTGCCACCAAGCCCACCTCCTAGACTACCTCCTAAATTTCCACTTAGAGCAGCGTTGAGAGAATTAGATAATCCAATGCCGCCAATTCCACTTCCAATGCCACCGCCCAAGTTTCCACTTAAAGCAGCGTTGAGTGAACTAGATAGTGAACTGCCGCCAAGCCCACCTCCTAGACTACCTCCCAAATTTCCACTTAGAGCAGCGTTGAGAGAATTAGATAATCCAATGCCGCCAATTCCACTTCCAATGCCACCGCCCAAGTTTCCACTTAGAGCACCACTGAGAGAACTAGAAACCCCACTGCCACCAATTCCACCTCCGAAGCCACTTCCCACATTTCCACCAATAGACCCATCAAGTGACCCACTGATTGAACCACTTACTGAAATAATTTATGCAACAATATCAAATAATAGTAAAACAAAATGTAGTTGTATAATGATCTTCTAGTAAACTTTTCTGGCATTTTCTATTAAACTTTTCTGTTACTTTTCTATTCTTTGCTATATTATGTTTGTTTTTTGTTGGTTTTTTTTTGTCACAAATTAATTATGTTTATATGATAATAAAGATATATTTATTAAAGTTTTTCTGACTGACTTTTGTTTTGACAGACTAAAAAGACTTGATGTCATATTTTTATATTTATTCTATCCCCAGCTGTTTTTTTTAACAGACAAAATAATCATTACAAAATAAAATTATGAATAGGAAAATCTGAGTTATTGTTGTTAGCAGCTAAGATCCTAATTAAGAGCTATTTCTTTCTACATGAAAAAGTCGGCATTTATGTTGGGAGAGTTCCACACTCTTTGCATGTTGTGGAATCCTTGCAATAACTGACGGAGATATCCGTGATTGCCCAGTTGCAAGATTACAGTCCTGGTCAGCTCAATTTTCAAAATCTAACATTTTGACATATTTGTTAATTGTTTTCGAACTGTATATGCATGATATATTAGCCACTGCACGTTATACAAACATCAATCAATCATACTACTTATTCTCACCAAAGTCGTCATATTAATAAATCAATTTTCAGATTTGAATATAAAAAAAAATATAATCATATTATAAGAAATCAATATCATTATGTTTTTGTAAAGATTTTTTCCAGGAACTAAAGTGGATGTCCATCATAATTATTAAAATTATTAAAATTATTAAAATAATATTTCAAACTAACTAGTATAATAGAATTATTGCAACGAAAAACTAAAAAAATAATTAGATGTGACTCCTTTTAAATATGTTCTTATTTTTGTCAAAAAGAGCGAACATCTAATTTTGTAAAAACTGACCTCCTCTACCGCCGCCAAATTTGGGTACAGCATTAGCAAAGGAAAAAGACACTACCAGAACGGTTATCAAAGTATTCATACTGCCTGAAATGGATTAAAATATATTAAGAAGCATTTGACAAACTATAAATAATTGTTTTTATGAAATGTAATTCAAGATTTATATGAAAAAAGAAAGCTTCTTGCAAAGAAATAATTATAAAAATAAGAAGATGCGGTATGATTGCCAATGAGACAACTCTCCACCAGTGACCAAATGACATAGAAGTTAACAACTTCAGGTCACCGTACGTTTCATATTAATTGGTACTAATCAAAATCAAAGGATTTTTACAAATGTGAAGAAATTTACTCGAGCTTATAACAGTTGAAAATTGTAATACCTGCTCTTCTTTCTCTTGATGCCTTTGGAAACTGATGTACAGATCGGTGTGTGTAAAATATCAGAAATCATTATCTTTTATACCACTGCGTGTACGTGCTTTCCGCTTTCTTGCGCCAGCATTAACTTTGACCTTGGTATATAGACATTGATTTTTCTCAATAAAGTTTGTAATTTAGTACACTCAAAGTTCCCTTTTCTTAACACTAAGTTATAAAATTCGTGTTTTACATGCTTTCAAACCACAACATAAATTTATCTCTGCTTACATGACAGTTTATTGACAAATATTAATCAGACAGTTTTATTTGCCATTTTACACATTTTCTTTAAAGTCTAACAATAGGTTTGGAATATTACGTAATATGGTCATTTATTCATTGTAACACAATGTTATGTTAAAATTGACATGTAATAAATCGCCATTAGATTAGTCAGAAACAAACTTTGAAACGTGAAATCGTGTATTGCCCTAATAATTAATAATAATGTCTCTTTAGTACAAAAATGTAGATAGTAACAGTCTTGATATCTGCATTTTACATAATTCGCACGTACATCTAGTTACAATTTGTCTTGACAGAGTGAAAGCAAAAAATTATTTGTAGGGAATATTTAAAAATGATTTTTTTTCAAATGAAAAATTATTCAAGTCGGAAAAGAAATGTTATCTTTCTTTTTTTCTAATATACTTGTGATATCAAACACGAAACAAATGAAGAAAGAAGAGCAGAAACATTTATTTACTAGTACACTAAATCTTTTGGATGTTGGATGTGTACTGATTGACATTTTAGTCTCAGATACATGATTTTTTTATTAGTTGTTATTGGCTTTGAACTGGATATCAGCAACTGCGAGTACTCTCAGATCCGATTGTGAATACCCTGACACGTACAATCTGTGTTTTTGTTAGTTGTTTTTCTGCTTTGTATCGATCTGATGAGTAAAGCCTTTTTCAACTGATTGTTTTAGTTTGTTCTTATGTTGTACTGTTACACCACTGTCCCAGGTTAGGGAGAGGTTTTGGTGCGCCAGCAAACATGTTTAACCCCGCCACATTATGTATGTGACCGTCCCAAGTCAGGGGCCTGTAATTCAGTGGTTGTCGTTTGTTGCTGTATATCATATTTGTTGTTCGTTTATTGTTTTGTACATAAATTAGGCCGTTAGTTTTCTCGTTTGAATGATTTTACATTTGGCATTTCAGTGCCTTTTATAGCTTACTATGCGGTATGGGTTTTCCTCATTTTTGAAGGCCGTGCGGTGACCATTGGTCGTTAAATTCATGTCATGTGTTGAATGGTGGAGAGTTGTTTCATTGGCAATTATTCCACATCTTCTTATTTTTATATTGATATTAAAATAAGAAATTGTGTGATACGAGTGTGAATAAGTCAAAGAACAAACGTATGTTAAAGATAGTATCTACACGTTTACAAGTCACCTGGTGTGTTACTCTGATATTTCGCAATGAACAAAGCTTCCTCTTGTTCAATTTTAAAGCCCATATGTTTAGTTCCAAATATGGATGATCGCACTATAGAGAAAAATAAAAACTGTCTTCAGATTCATGATTTTATAGGTAATAAAACATACCATAGGAACTTACTTTCAAAACATATATTAACAGCTTAACAGCAATAATTATCCTTTTCTAGATTAAGATATTTCAGTTTCACATGGGAAAATTTTAACAAAAAAATATTTCGACACAAGAGATGTAAATTTATTTCATTTTGTTTGTTTGGTTTTTTTTGTTTTTTTTTTTAGGGGGGGGGGGGGGGCTGTTGTGATCCTTTGGCTCCTTCTTACGATGTGTATATTTTCTGAATCATTCGCAATGCTCGTGTCCGTAGTGACGTTTTAGATTTCAATGAACGTCATCTATGTTTAACTGTGTGTAAATTATTGAGTCAGGGATTTCGTTAACATAAATTACTCAAAACTTTTCCTATTTTCTTTCATTAATATACAAAGATTCAATTTTAAAGTTTGGCTGTATCTGTAGAATTTTTATCAAAATCGGGATATCAAATCCTAAGTATTGCTCTAATGTTGTCTATAAAGACCGTTAATTCACATGCGATCCATGTAAACTCATTGATCTGATCCTTTGAAACGTAAACGTGGTCCTACATCGATATTATGTACAGTTACTTATATTTTTGCATTCCACTAGGCCATGCTTATTTCAGACTTTTTATGATATCTTTATCCCATCCGTTGAATGCGTACTGATTGATACTTTATTCTGGGAGAAAATGTTGTATTTGTAGTTGTTATTGGCTTTGAACTAGCTTTCAGTAACTGCGATAACTCTTAGATCGACACCTTGTAATTTTTATCTACATACGGAGTCTTTATGTCTTTATGTTAGCTTTTGTTTTTTTTGTGCTGCGTGCCGATCTGATAAGTGAAGCCATTACAAACAAATTTTTGCAGTTTGTTCGTATGGTTTGCTGTTATACCACTGCCCAAGGTAAAGGAAGGTTTGAGCGCTCACAAACATGTTTAACACCGACACATTCTTAAAGTGCATGTCCCAATACAGGAGCATTTAGTTGAATGGTTGCCGCTGGTTGCTGTCTGTCTTTTTTTTTTATATTTAGTGTTTCGTCATTAATCAGGCCGTTGGTTATTTTCATTGAATTGTTTCAAATTCATGTCGGAGATTTTAATAGCTGACTTTACAGTATGGGTTTTGCTCATTGTCGGAGACAATAATAACTAATCTCGCATTTCATTCCATTGTTCAGCAATCTTACGTATAAGTGCTCGCCATAATTTCTAATTTTACAGTATTTCTAAAATTTGATTGAATCAGTAATCTTAAAATCGATGTACATTTACATATAATGCGCGTAAAATGCTATAAGATGTTTCTTAGAATAATCCTATTTCCAACACCAATCCATATTAGTGCGGAGACAAACAGGCAAAAAGTCGTCTAAATATTGAGTTAATCTCCCCAAAAAACATACATACGTCTACTTTAATTCTCCCCCCTCCCCTGTCGTAAGAAATTCGTATGGTCACAATTTCCTAAAAAAACGTTTTTCCGAATAGACTATTTTTGTAATTGTGTCATCCACCTTTTCAAAAATGTTTATTTGAACTTATATGCCGACATTTTCTTCAAGAGAATTAGATTTTTGGGATGACCATAATTCATAATTGTTAGTTTAGATTTTTATTGGCATAAAAAAAAAGTTATACAATTTCAAGTTGTTTAAAATATCGCATTTTTTCGTAAAAATATAGACATAAACTTTATTTGCTTGTCCCTAAACTTCAAGTTTAACACGGAAATTGATCACCTCTCTCACGGTCATTAATATTTAAGTAGCACTCAAGTAATATTCAATTTACTGTACTTATGCTATTATATGAGGGTAGGAATGCGCTTTTCCGCCAGGCGCCAAACGGTCATTTTCGGCTACCGTTAGCGTCAAATTGGTTAAAAATTGTATCGTGATTCGTCAAAATATCCATATCGTGATTCGTCAAAATATTCATATCGTGATTCGTCAGAGGTTTAAAATAATTAACCGTTACCGTTATTTTATGGAAAGAATTTAACGTGATTCGTTAAAATCAGTCGATTGTTTCATTGTCATAAAGAAAGTGTACATTTTAACGTCATGCACCAAAAATTACCGTAAACATCATTTGGCAAGATTTTTTTGCCGTTGATCGTCATGAAGGTACCCCCATTACGACCCTCTTAGATACAATGTTTTCCATTTTAATGTTGTAGTGTATAAACAAAAATACACGTTTATGTTTATTTTTTAGTAAGTTCGCCTTTTTGTGTAAACGAAAAAGGTCTTTTATTTTAAAGCAAAATCAACGGCGGACATTTTTAGTGAATAAGCTTCACTGTTTTCAAGGGCTACCTGTTTGACAAGATATCAAGATGATCGAATATGATAAAGTCAACCTTTACACCAGATCTAGAGCTATTCCAATGCTCCAAGTAATTAAACAGGCTCCCGCCCCCTCCCCCAACTTTTTTTTTATCTGGCAACGAAAATAAGCAATCATTACCTCAGATTCTTCAGAGTTCTATTATATATTACGACATAAAAAAATCCTTATACACTATTAGATATTAAAGAACTTATTCTATCTGAATTTTTGCCTATCTTTAATTGTAGAACGTATCTGTGCAAGATGTCATTGGACTGTATCGACATAACCCATGAACGAGGGAGGGGGACACATATGATTCTGCACATTATCCATGTCGATAGACAGTTTGGATATTTTCACTATTACAGATAGAACTGGTGGAGAGTGTTCTCATTGGCATTCATAGCACATCTCCTTGTCTTTATATTAAAAAATATCTTGACATTAACGTTTGAATTCTTTGTTTTTATTTTTCTTTATCCGTGACAAATTCCGATGATCTGTGGTATTAAACAGTAACTATTACTTTCGCTTTAGTACACAAGACGTTACGAACTTGAACATACATGTAAGCTATGTACTTATTTGTACCCCTAATAAGTTAATGCGTGTCTCTAGCACATGCAATTGCATGATATGACTTCTCACAGAAAATGTAACATGACGGCTTTCAAAGTTCTTAAACAGATGACAGATTGCCAAACAGTGATATTGATGAATATCTTCAATTTTCATGAAAGATAATCGCAATGTTGTATGATCAAAAAGGTAATCTAAACAGCTTTTGACTTGGATGGAGAGTTCTCTCCTTGGCACTCATACCACATCTTCTCATATCTATTTACAGTTGTCCTAAATATATGGCGGCTAAAACTTGCTCCTTACTAAAACACGTCTCTGGCAAATCCACTCCCTGGTGAATTCACGTTAGACCGTTAGACACAATTAACCTCAAGTATCCACCCGAAATGATTGATTCACATCTAAATGTAAACCACCTCCGTGATCTCTGCTAACATTTGGACGGATTAAAGTTATTATTACTAGAAGTTCCAATGTTTTGTATTTCTTATAAGTACTTCACCAAGTCTCAACCAAGCGTCCACGCTTTGCTTTGCTTGCTAGTGTCAGGAACATATATATTGA